ATATAAAGGTGCAAAGTTTTGTTTCACGTATTAATATACAGATATGTAGTAAAACTAAACATTCAAAACTTCTTTCTCTCCAGCCGTATACAATTAAATACTTATGACCTACAAAAACGTAAACAATATGATGATATAGATATATAAAACTAACAAAAAAGCAAATAAGAAAGAAAATCTTCTCATAAATAAACATAGAATATAATTATTTAAAATAAAATAACTATTACACGGCTATTTTCGTTTAAGCAAGAGAGATCATAAGTTGGGTGAAAATAAAAGTTACTTACGCTTGGGTAAAGCCTATCCAAAGAAATACAATATACGAGCAACTAGTAATTATTTTTGACTAATCTCCAAATAATTGTATTTAATAGACAATATACAGTATAAATATTTTGCAAACACAAGTTTATAGTGTTTTTTTTAGCAAATTTTAAAATATAATATAACATTTTTTTATAAGCATGAACAGATCTACCCCACGGGAACCTTTCATTTATCAGTTTAACAAATGGTCGATGTGATTCTTTAAATTGACATAACTTTTTTTATTTATGAACCGATTGACATAAAACATACACTAAATGTTAAGTGAAGCTTACCACAATATATTAGTGAAAACCCCATCTAAATCAGATAAGTCGTTTCTGAGATTAGCCTGCACAAACGCACAGAAAAACAGACAAACAGATAAACAGACAAAAATTCTAACAATCATTGTTTTGGGTGCTATTTGCGTTTATAAAGGTCCCAATAATATTTTTACTCATATACATATCTTCCATGTACAGACAGCGATCCGTTACATTTTTATTATTTGTATAGAAGACTAGCGACTTACCCTCACTTTGCTCGGGTTCGTCCCTAGGTACGTAATGGTTAGTATGGAATATATAGTCTATATTATATATACATACAGTTCTAAACTATTCTTTATGATGATTTTCCAGCTATTTTTTGTGCCTGCCCTATTTTTTTATACTTTTCTTTCTTTTATTTTAACAATTATTGAAATCGGTCAAATCAAATAAATTTTATTACACATTGATATAACGACGTTGATATAATTAACAATTTTAAAGTATATATTGAAGTAGGCAAAGTAGTTTAGGTAAGCGTAGTGTAGAACGTCCTGCAGCACGATGGATAGATGACCTAAGAAAGGTGGCTGGCAGTGGATGGATGCGGGCTGACCAGGACCGGGATGGTTGGCGCTCATTGGGGGAGGCCTTTGTTCCCTCTTCGTTTGTGGCCCTCTTCGGAGGGCGGTGTGCCATGCGGGTTACTCCTGGTACTTCTCTGATAGCAGAGTGGACTTTGGAGCGACCCCATGGTCGTTGTGGTCTGACTCGGCAGACCTGCCGTCGGGGCATCGTAGTTGAATGCGTAAGCGATCCTGCGACGCCCCATTAAGACGGGGGAAGGTTTCGTTGGGTTTTAGTGGGTAGTACTGGCTTTGCCGGTGAGTCCCACACCTCGTGCGTAAATGCATTTCCCAACGTTAAAAAGAAGGCCTTTGTTCAGCAGTGGATAGCGATAGGGTGATTGAAGTTTGTTTATTAAAGTAAATTGTATTTGTGTCCTGTCTTGCATTATGTCTATGCAAGCCATGGATGGTCAAGAAGGCTAAATTACATAATTGTGCCGTTTGAATTCATGCTCTGTACAGTTCTCGTTTACTTCACTTTCGCTTAGTACGCTATGCCTCTAAATCGACTCATAAATTTATCGTCATGCATACAAATAACAAATAAATAGTGTAAATTGCCAAATTATTAATGGCTTTGGAAAGTCATTTGAAACGTATAATTCCGTAATATTAGAAATTTTGAGTAAGCATTACTAAATTTATAAAAGTTTTTAATATTGATCCTTTAAATCATTGATAGATTATTTAATTAAAGTCAATTATATAATAACTTATTATTCCTAACGAAACTTCTTGATATTCTAAGAGCAATTTTTTTTTGTACTAGGTTTAGGTACTTTGTAACGGTTAGTATGAAATACAAACTTTTGAATTAATTGACTTTTCTGTACTATAATATGCATGTTTTATATATATATATATATATATATATATATATATATATATATATATAAACCTTCCTCTTAAATCACTCTATGTATTAAATAAAAACTTTTTAACAAAAAAATAAAAACCGACTTCAAACAAAAGCACTAAAAAGTAATAAATAACTGATTGGTAGTTTTCATTTACTATACATACCTAATCAAATATTTTCGAAGTCGGTGTGCTTTGCTTTGTATGGGCTGGCACCGATTTCGAAAATATTGGATTAGGTATGTATTTAATAGGTAGGCTTTAATTACTTAGCCAAAGCACACCGACTTCGAAAATATTTGATTAGGTATGTATAGTAAATGAAAACTACCAATCAGTTATTTATTACTTTTTAGTGCTTTTGTTTGAAGTCGGTTTTTATTTTTTTGTTAAAAAGTTTTTATTTTTCCCTTTTTAGTGTAGACAGTAGTAGAAAAGTAAAGATTCTAACGTGTTAGGCTTGTCAAATCAAACAAAATAAGCCCAAACTCAAAGTATCTACTGTTAGCCGTTGAAGAGTTTCACCATGCACCTTCTGGCTTCTGGCTATGTTCAGGTCATATTTATGTCGATAATATTAGCATGTATGGCAAAGGGGTAAAAAGCTTTAAAGTGATGTTTTTTTAGAATCAGTTCATCTATATTATCTATACTCTAATTAAAAAGATTTGTTCGTTTGTTTATAACAGGTTAAATCTAAAAATACTGTACAGATTTAAATAACGCTTTAAAGCTGTTAAAGTTACATAACCTAAAAGTAACATAGGTCTATATTTTAATACAGTTATAAATTTTCAACACATTTTATATATACATATATTATATTCATATAATATTTTATATATAATATTCCAAGAAGTTCTATTTCAAAATGTACATAGTTATAATTAGTTAAAAACTAAATATATACATATAATGATAAGCAAAAAATCGTAGAAATGCATGAGAAAATAGTGTCTAAAAATATTGTGAAACGATGACAGTCATTCTCAAGTACTTTCTGACTACATGTAGGTCAAAAGCCATCATTGTAATAGAAGTTTGCATTATAAAGAAAAGCTACACTTTAAAGCTGTACATATCAAAAGATAAAAGCTCCCAATATAAAAACGTGAAACTTGGACTTTAAATTAATAAATAGGTAAACGAAAATTAGCAAATATATAATTTTTTTTTTATTAATTAGTCAATTGAGCAGACCAAAACTTTCACATTTTATCAGACATAGACATTAAAATAAGTAAAATTTACTTTGATTAAATTAGAAAATATTTTGCATTGCATTCCATATATTTTTAAGTTTAATTAGATGGCTTGAGAACCATCCCATAAAAGAGTTTGAATAGAAATTTTATTACAATGATATTTAAATATACTTTATAATATATATGTATATAGAGTAATTATAATCAAAATAAATTTATGGAAAAAAACTATGAATAATTTATATATACACATTACATTTCTGTATTTTTCTCTGAGAATTTTTATAAAAAGCGAAGTAATTGTGAGTTGTACATATGAAAATTGTGCTCAAATAATAGGTTTTATTCAGTTAATCAAATATATTCAGCTTTTTTCAAAGTCCTATTGCTGGGTATGGTCTTTCCTTAATTACAAAGGGATCTGGTCTTAGTCCACCACACTGGCCAAGTGCGGAGGCGGATTTTACATGTCTTTCGAAAACTCGCTAGGTTTTCTAGTATATTTTCCTTCACGTAAGACAAGTGGTAATTATGTTGGAAATAATTTGAACATGAAAATATCAGAGGCGAGAGACCCGGGATTTGAACCCACTTCACTCGGTTTTCTGAGCGAGCGCGTTACCACTAGGCTATACTGTTTTCAAATAACAAAATTACAGTTAATTCAATATTACATGAAAAGTACATACGTTTCACGTTTCAATTCTATAGAAAACCACAAACAATTTCGCATACAAAGTGGAACTTGAACTTGTGACCTTTGAGTACAAAAACTGTGGTGACCGCTAGACGGTGATCTTCGAAGAAAACGAAACTTTCATATACTTGACATGATTGGCTCTACCTTTAACAAAAGTTCGCATAAACTATAGAACTAGTTGCGTGACCGTGATTTCTTGAGACAATTATGAATAACGAGATTCTCCTTACAACATATGGCAAAAAGGCCTTATTAATAATTTAATGAAAATATATACGAATAGAATTTACCTATCTATATAAAAAACTAGCTGTTCCCCAATTTTTTTGATTGATAGCACTTAAGTTCGATGATAGCTCTAAATAAAAAAAAGAAAATCGGTCGGACGAGAAAAAGATACTGAATTTGGGCAAAGTCATAGTATATGTGTAGCACAATGTATATAATGCACTATTGCTATTGTTGCTATAAGTAACATGTAACAGATTATATTGTCCATTTAAAAAACATAAACTCACTTTTAAATTGATAATTAAATTAAACGCGCGTTATCAAAAAAACGATTTACAGATTGCTGGTTATTTAAACGAATGATGGTTATTGATTTATGGTATTTTAACCTTTCTTTTTCTCTACACTATAACGTATATAATGACTTTAAAAATAAGGCAATACTGTAAAAATACGCCAGAAACACATATAATAACTTAATACTAATTTTTAATTAAATAAAAAACACTTAATAAATAGTAATAAACCTTGAAAAAATTAATAATATCATAACTAATATTTTTTTAAATAACTTTTAAGCCCTTTATCAACGCATGTTTTTGACACAAATCCAAACGCTCTAAATCGGCACAAATCCAAAATATGACTAAAACTAACATATCTGCAAAAGTGGGTACGGCATACAAAATATATTAAGACTGAACATTATTTCATCACTATACGAGATGGTGGGAGGCAACAAAATAAAACTGACGGTGTAACTACAGGCTGTGACAATTGAAACACGAGTGCGAAGATGAAAGCGTTCTACGTGTTGTTCCTCGCTACCGTTACGGCTATGCCGGCCAAGGAGGATGGCGTGATGGAGAAGTTCATCTCAAATTTACGGGATTGTGTTGAAACGGATACCATGCTGTGTTTAAAGGTGTGCAGTGTTGTGATGTGACGTGATGTGATGTGCTAGTGATAGGATATATCCCTCATAACTTGGGTCTATCTCAAGGATTAATCCCTTATTATTTTATAAATAGGGTCTATCCCTGGATACTATTGTCTCTGAATGGTTTTAAATTAGGGAATTTTGTGTTGGTCGAATTTTGTGTTTTGTGCACTAATTCGTTTATAGTATTTTTAATAGATAAAATGTTAATTATTGTGGCGCAATTTTTGCTATAAAATAAAATTTAGCACATATTTTGAAAAGGGATTACTATTTGGCAAAGATCTTGATATTTTCTAGTTTATATTAATATAAATAATAGTCTATATTAAAGTAATAAATAGTAAAGATATCCTAAATTTTCAATTAGGGAAAAATATCTATAATTATAGAAATATGTAAAGTTCAAAAAATAAATAATTTTTTCTTTTTCAGGAGAAAGCAATGAAAATTACCGAAAATCTAGCCTTTGCAAAGGATTTTAGCGTGGTTGATGGTATAACGTTTGCCAGGACTGGTTCACCAAGATCAGCACGTAGTTACGAGCCTTTGCCCGATGACCCTAAAGCACGAGAACTTCAAGTTGAAGAAAGAATTATGGACAATGTTGTAGATTTCCTCGACAGTCACGCCCTGCAATTGAGAATGCCTAAGTCCTTCACTGAAGACAACTCTATTGAAGAAGAAGGTTTGTAAATATTTGATTTAATTACCCATATATTATATTTTCATAAATAAAAAAAAAACATATTATTATCGGGATAGGAATATAAAAACTTTTTGAGGAGCTGAAGTAGGAAGTTACTTATAAACTTATAATCCTAACGTTATACTTATAAGCATTTATGTACTTTATTAACTTATTTGTTTCATCAAGAGATATTCTAAAATTAAACTAAGCTAAAATATCTATATTAATCACATTAATGATACAATATTTTATTCTTAGGCCGTGGCAAGAAGAAGAAGAAGCTGAAGAAGCTCCTCCCAATCCTTGCTCTGATCAAACTGAAGTTGGCTGCCTTGATTCCTCTATTCCTTGGTATCATAGCCTTTGCAGTCTTCAAGGCTGTCCTCTTAGGAAAGGTCGCTTTCATCGCAGCAGCTATTGGAGCTCTGAAGAAACTTCTAGAATCTAAATCCAAGGGCGGCGGTGGTGGTGGATGGTCAGAGCCAGCTCATGAAGAGCATGGTTGGGAAAGCGGTGGTGGATGGGGACGGTCACAGGATGCCCAAAACATGGCATATGCTGCCCATGTCAAGCAAATTTAAGCTCAGGGTCTAGATTAATAAATTAACTAATTTATTCTAACTTAAGTTTGACGAATAAGGTTATTTATTATATTTTGACCACCGTTTTAAATGTGAAGTATTTTTTTATTACTCAGTATTTTTTCTTCTTTTAGCTGTGCTTTAAATTCTTGACTGATTTATATAGTAGCAATGCTATTTATGTAATATACTTATAATTATTATTTTCTCTTAAGTATTATGTTAACATGTATATATTATGTATAATATGTAGTGTATTTTATATAGACGATAGTAGAAATGGGTGCTTACCAAATATTTAAAGATTTTTTGTTCCAAAGATATTTATTTTTTTAGTTTATTTTAGTATATTATTATTTTTTATTATTTGAATTATAAACTTCAATGGCGAGTGTGAGTAAAACGAGTCATATTTATTATCGAATCTGTTATTTTTTCGAACGAATGCATCGTTTGCAATTTTATGCGATGGATCTGCGTGAAATACAGTCCTTTGTACATAAATAGTGTGTTTATTTTTCCCTTTGAACAATTACTTATGATGAAACAAAAAGAGTATTAACAGTACATTCTTCTAAAGTTAATTCTTCTGGGAAAGGCCTCTGATAAGCGGGAACAAATATCTCTATTGTATCAAGAGTTAAAAAATTTAGGTCAGTGTAAGACAATACTCGAGTTAATGTATGAGAAAAGCTTACCTATCACTTGCTAGAGAAAGTAATGTCATTTTTACCTAATTAAATTTCATAAAGAGAACCAAGTAATTAACCTTTACATATTCATTTAAACTAACAGTTAATGTATATTTAACTGTCATTAAAATTCTTTAACGCATTCAGTTTGTATAACCTTAACAGATGTTTTTTTTATAAATGCGAAAATGTAAGCGCAGACTTCATTTTAATTTTAGAAATATATTTTAAAATTAAACTTTAAGTGATTTAAAAAAAAGTTTTTAAAATAAGTTACAAGTAAGCTTTTTACATCAATAGCTTTATATTTTATTTTTTAACTTTTTCTCGTGTATATAAATTTATAAAAACGTTGAACTTATGCAACGAAATAATCATAACTTTCAGTAAAACAAGCTTTTTCTGATTATTTGTATTTTATGGAATTTTCGACTTTACTCAAAAGCGATTAAGGTCATAATCCCATAGTATAGATACCTGTCAAAAAAACTTTCATTTTTAAAAAGAAATTCATAACTTACACAATATTTTCGGTAACTGGATATAGGTAATATTGAGGACACAACCGTTTAGAATAATATTTGCATATTAGATTGCGTTTCGAATTTGATACTTTTAATTAATTTTTACTTTTTAAATCCTGTGTATATTAGGTTAATAGGCAAAAAATAAATTTAAAATCTTAAAAGAATGTTGAATAGACTTTCATTTTCAACCGACTTCAAAAAGGAGGAGGTTCTCAATTCAACTGTATTTTTTTTTGTTTTTTTTTTTATGTTTGTTACCTCAGAACTTCGTCATTTATTAACCGATTTGGACAATTTTTGTTTTGTTTGAAAGGGTATACTTCCAGATTGGTTCCATTTAAATTTCAAAAAAAAAATACCACCCCTAAGGGTGGAAAAATAGCTAATCATGGATTTAACCTACTTCTAATTGTCATATTGACTTGAAACTTTGCAAGTGTTTCTATTTCCGTTGATAGTAAAGTGGTTCGGTATTGTTGACCTGATCTGATGGTAAGGCCAGAAGGTGTATAGGTGGAACTCTTCAACGGCTAATAGTAGATACGTTGAGTTTGGGCTTATTTAGTTTGATTCGACAAGCCTAACACGTTAGAATTCTTACTTTGCTACTACTGTCTACACTAAAAAGGGAAAAATAAAAACTTTTTAACAAAAAAATAAAAACCGACTTCAAACAAAAGCACTAAAAAGTAAAAAATAACTGATTGGTAGTTTTCATTTACTATACATACCTAATCAAATATTTTCGAAGTCGGTGTGCTTTGTCTAAGTAATTAAAGCCTACCTATTAAATACATACCTAATCAAATATTTTCGAAATCGGTCCCAGCCCATACAAAGCAAAGCACACCGACTTCGAAAATATTTGATTAGGTATGTATAGTAAATGAAAACTACCAATCAGTTATGTTTTACTTTTTAGTGCTTTTGTTTGAAGTCAGTTTTTATTTTTTTGTTAAAAAGTTTTTTAAAGAAAAAATGCCATATGTAAGTACGATGCTCATGTAGAGAGATAAAATTAATTTGTTTGTTTATATGTGTCTGTTAGTATTTAGATAAAACAAGCTGCATCCCTAGTATTTTTTTTTGTTTTTTTTAAAGATGATATTTTAATAAACATATTAGCTAAGTAGAGCCATTCACAAGCACTAGTTTAATATGAAAGAATACTATAAGCGACATTATAATTCAACTCTAACTAAAAACGCTAAAAGCTCGTTTCTTAAGTAGTATACACACATAACAAAATGATAAACGGATGTGAGCTCAAGCTCTCTTGTACTGAGAATATCTAAGAGCATCTACACCATAACTACATTGAAACAACATAATAATTATTTGCATACAACATTGCGTATTGAATATATTATCGCTTACTAGCAGTACTCTTTCTCTTATTATAATGGGTATAACTACTTTTTTGTTATACTAGCGACTTGCCCTCGCTTCGCTCGGGTGCGTCCCTAGGTACGCTCTAAATATATATGAATAGTTATTAGCCAGAACTAGCCATGGTATTTTTTTTTCGTGAATGTTTCTGACATTTTATTTAATTATTTATTTTATTTATTCTGCTTTTCAGGGACCCTAATCGGTCCAGCCGTTCTTGCGTTATAAATTGTGTAACTAACCCGACTTATATATATATATATATATATATATATATATATATATATATATATATATATATAAAGAAAAAAACATTTTTTTCCATTGGACGTAACATTTATTAAACAGTCTTTTAAACGTTTAGACTAATTATCAATAGAAGCACGCCCTCATTTCATGAGAAAAATCTTCACTGCGAATCGTATGGATTGTTTTAGGGGCTCCAAATTATCATGGCATTTAGAATAAGCTATACTCTCTAAAACTGACCATAAATCATAATAATTAATATCGGGACTAGATGACGCCAGTCTTCAGCTCTGATGAAGTCCGAAACGTGGGTTTCTAACCAAGATTGCGTGGATCGAGCTTTATAACCCAGCGCAGAGTCTTGCTGAAAGAACCATTCTTGGTTATGGAACATGATGTTGTTAAAGGGCTTAACTACCTTCTCAAGAATGGTATCTTGATTCACTTGTGCCGATATTTTGATACCTTTTTCACAAAAATATGGCTCAGTCACTCCTTCATAGCTAACACCCCATCAAACCATCACTGAAGTCAGCTAATGCCCACGTTGTACTCCATTGACTAATTAGACATACAGAAAGACAGACCGACAGACGTACAAACAAAAAAAATAAAAGGGTTGTTTGGGTACTAGTATCATATAAAAAGTCTATTTACTTAAGGAATCATAGTTATTTTGAAATCACAAACAGACACTTCAATTCTATTTATAGGTATAGATGTTTAGATGAATCAATACTATACAGCAAAACGTAAGTACACATAAGACCACATGAAAGTGTTTAACATAGAAACCTAGCTGTTTTACATGTTAAAGTCCATTCACATACAAAGACGTAAAGGTTAGTTTTACGACCGTTTTACTGCCTAGGTCTCTTTGAATGAGATTAAGTGCAAATTCTTTAGCAATGTCGTTATTTAGCATTTGACTGTACCTACATATGTAAGCATACGTGTAATTTTCACATCATAAAAAAATGAATAACGTTTTTATTAAATTACTAGCGACTCACCCTCGCTATGCTAGGGTTCATCCTTAGTTACGATTTAAAGTTAGATTAATAAGGGATGAGATATATTCCCGCAGTAAAAACTATCCTATATGTTGACCAGGATAGTTAGCTATCATCATACTAAATTTCATCAAAATCTGTCCAGTGGTTTTCGCATGATGTGTCCCCAGACAGACAAAAATTCTAAAAACTATAGATTCGGCCTCAGTATCGAAAATAATGACGATTTCAATAAGATTTTCCAAAAAATATTTAATGTACAGATGCAACTCAGTTAGAATTTTATTATATATATAGATCCGGGAGAAATCCGGGACTTGAACCCAGGATCTCTGGATCTGCAACATACATGCTAGCCACTAGACCACCCAGGTACTTAACAATGATTTATATTATACTAGCGACTCACCCTCGCTTCTCTCGGGTTCGTCCCTTGGTTCGTTACATGTCTGAAAGCAGCTATTATTGATTAGCTTCAGCTAGGTACTTTATTATGTATAATAGTGTATTATTATGACGTAAGACGGGATATTTACCATATTTACAACTTGTATAATTTACTTTATTAATACCACAAATTAATGCCCTCAGGGGGACTCGAACTCGCAACCGCTGGCACAGCAAGTAGGATCACTACATACTGAGCCAAACATGTCGTCAAAAACGAAAGTTTCTAGGTACGTATGTGTGTAGATGTTCGTTACTCCCATGGGCTACGAGTAATGTCCTCCTGACCGATTTCGACCATGGCGGGCAATTTTACTGAGACTAGCCAACTGTGCACAAGATAGTATAGTGCACAAAATTGCGCACAGACGCAATTGCACTATTTATAACTTTTACTCTCAAAGATCAATAGGACGATACTTCGACACGACCAGTGAGAATAAAGACGCAGGACCGACGGCTTTACCTGCTCTTCGAGGCAGGATGGTGAGACATTGTCAACTTATACAGTGCCGTATAATTGCGAATGTATAAGGAAATCGCTGGATGGATTTAAATGAATTTTATTATACAGATAGACTGTTTCGGACGACCAGAACCAGGGTATGTCTAGTACCCGGAGGTCGACCTGGGACAATCTCCCAGACGTTCTTGGCGTACACGGCAGTATGTCCGTTCGC